GCTCTAGACGCGATTTTCCGAAAATGCTTTTAACGGAAAACTTTTCTGCTAAAAGCATTTTCGGAAAATCATGCCAGTGCAGACGTAGCCATACTGTGAAGTAACATTTTCACAAGCGCCTAAAAGGAGTGTTGTTGAAACTTGGCTATCTAACTCCCTTCAACTCTTTTAAAAATCCCACCCATTATATTTACAGGGCCTGATTTTGAGAGATAATGAGCACTGCTAATCCCAGATAACCTCAGCAGGAGTTATGGGTGCTTAACATTTTGAAGATCAGGCGCTTACATAGCACTTAAAGATGCTTTATTAACTTTTATTATTCATTACCTAGAATGTACATACTCTGAGTAATTTTAAAATACATTTAGGGCATTATTCCACACAAAGTCCTCCAAGTCTAATTAAGGCAAATGTCAGCAACAGCTGGGAGTTCTAAAGTTCTGCATTCTGTGTCAGTTAAACTGCTTGTTTTCTATTATATTTTGCTAGGCCATTACTGGGATGGCGATAGACAATCACTTGCTAGGGCTCAGAGAGACAGCACGGGAGCACTTCAAAGAACTGCCAGAGATATTTACAGATGAAACATATTTGACAAGCAGTCGATTTATCCTCTCAACCAGCCAGGTTAGTGTTTCAAATTCATGGGCTTTGTTATAGCAAGTGTCTTTATTACAGAAGTAATTCATTCCTGTTCAGCAGATTCTATAGTTCACAATAGCAGGGGCGAGGAGAGAGATAGCTCAGTGGTTTGAGCATTGGCCTGCTAAGCCCAGGGTTATGCATTCAATCCTGGCAAAGGCAATTTGGGGCAAAAGTTTGTCAGGGATGGTACTTGGCTCTGCTGTGAAGACAGGAGGACTGGATTCAAGGTCCCTTCTAGTTCTAGGAAATAGGCAACCTCTATTAATTTATGAGAATGGCATTTTGATATATTATGACAATGACACCAACATCCATGCAAAATTCCTGATTTTCATTCCACAGTATTTTTCCATAGTCAAAATACACATCATAAAAATTGGATGAAGCCATAGCTTCCCTTCTTTATCCCAAAGTTATACCTCAACTGACAAACTTTGCGAAGCCTAGTCTTAAATGCAAAAACAAGCATGTGTATGCGAGCCTTGGCTTCCTTCCCTTCCACTGTAGATCTCCCTTCTTGCCCTTGTCCTTCTAAAGTTGACAAATCCTGTAGTAATTCTGTTTTCCAGTGACAGCACAGTCACTAAGCCAGACATGCTGCCATTGTGGAGAGACAGGCCATGAAGCTTGAATAAATATTTTTTGTAAAGGCAGCTGTGTTGGAAATTTCAGGCTAGTGTTATCCTAGGTTGCTACTAAGCATGCTACTAAGAGGTACAAGGCTTTGTGTAGCCTTGCCTCACCTGTGAGCACCCCCCACTTCTTCATACTTAAAAAAATACTGGCTGGCTGTTACCCGACTCTAACACACCTGGTTGCTAAAACCTGCAATCTCTGATATAAACCAGATGGGACATCCTAATTTGCTGTTCAATAGAAAGAAGGCAGCAACAACAAAACACATTCAAGAACTTAGGAGATGAAAACTGGGAAAGACAGCAACTAGAAATGAGGTTGTAAGATTCAGATCCTGTGACTAGTGGAACCCAAAGGCAAACTTATAGTTGGCACAGGCCTAAGACCATCGCTGGCTCAGCCTATCCAACATGTACAGGGACAGATTAGGGAATGTAAAGTGTAAATATCCTAACTGTAGGTTTATTCCTCCTTCAGATATTCACAAAAATTGTCACAGTTGAACTGATGTGGAAATGACCTTTTCCATGTACAGATGGTATATGCTGTAACAAGATGCTTTACCATGCCAATATTGCCTAGATTCAACGTTTTGAACAATAATATTTTCTGTACAAGTGTAATCAAAACTTACAAATTAAATGTATCTCTAGATACAGTGGCAGGGTTTAGTGAAAAATGAAAACTATATACTAATTCATTTACTGAAACTCTACCTCAACTATATGGGACTGCGAGTGTGCTATAAAAAGTGCTGATATTATTGTGCAGAAGCATAAATACCTTAATAAGTAATTTGATCTTGTCATAATGTTTGTTGGCTTTCAGACATGAGTGAATGTAGCCAGAATACCACTACATAAATTCTCCAAGAAGCCATCCATGAGCAAAAAAAGTGCTTCTGAATAGCTTTATGGCCTTCGGCTGTTCCACAGCAAATTTATCTGACAATGGTATGACTCTATTAGCAGGACTAATGGCTTGTTCTACGCCATTAAAAAGCCAAATGTCACTTTTGAAGGCTCATGTACCCAAACCTGAAATGTATAGATTTCTAGCAGACTTTAAATTTCTTTCAATAGGAAGTGTTTCATTCCAGTATTATGTCACAATTAAATCTGAATCGTAGCAGAAAAATTGTCTCAATTAATAGCTGAATAAATTAAAACATACTGTTTTTTCATGGCCTCCTGATTATATAAATGTTAGGAGCCGAACAAGTATTACGTTCTATAACTCATTAAAACTTTGTGCATTACAAATTTAAATTAACTTGAGATAAGTAGAGTTAAATCTTAGGGAAATTTTAGGTAGTATAATTGTTGATATGCAGTCCCAGTTATTCCGTAGAAATCAGTATGCAAAGCGAATAGATGTTAAAGGTCTAGTTAAAACGATAGAATAAATGAAATATATGCATTTGAATCTCAGGCAATGAGCCCAGTTCTCAAACATAGGTAACTGACTAGAACAGCCAAAATTTGTATTAGGACACTCAGATAGGTGTTTAGTCTCATACATAGCTGTTTTTATCTGTCACAATGCTGATTCTGGTGTCCAGCTCTGTGCTCCAAACTTCCTATTAAGTCAACCATATTTGGTAATAGGATCCTCTATGTTTAAAATGCATGGGGCTTTTTAAAAATTCTTTAATGATAACTGGATTATTTCAGTGGCTCTGATTAAACTTGAAATCACTCTTTGCCCACCATCAGGTGCCA